GCTGACTAGGGTTTCCACTGCGCAAAATTTCGAGCATCATAGAAAATAAACGTATTTGCTATTTTAAAGCATCTTTTTCACTTAATTAATACAACTAAACAAAGTTGAGAAATAAGGGGAAAAAAATTTTTATTACAATTTCAAATAAATATTTTAAAAAGTTATTTAAGTGATAGGTAGATTGACGACGTAATAGTGTGGGGTTTTTTTTGAGTTAGATAACTTAGCTCTTAAAGAAGTGGTAAAAAACGTTGAAAAAGAAAAAAAAAAAAATATGGTCTTAAATTTTATAACATAAAAATTTGATATCTTTCATCATATTCATGCATGAATTAAAATCAAAAATCTTATTTCATCTAAAAGTTATTGAAACTTATTATTATTATTATTACCTACTTACTTATTATAATATTCATAATAAGTTTCAATAAATTTAAGATTAAGTAAGATTTTTTATTTATTTTTGTGTGAAATGCTATTACAATATATAAGTCGTGATATTATACAGAAAATATTAACGTCAAATCTGTGTCTATACCCCTTTTAAAAGGAAATTTCTAAGTATCGCTTGGGTTTTTTTTTCTAAATCCACATCTGATTTACACCATTTCTTAAAAAAAAAATGGGTCAATCGGATAAACTTAAAGACCCAGTCTTTGACACAATAAAGATTCCTCACTGTTTAATGAACCGAGTGACAGAAACCAAAAATGGGTTCATAGGTCCCCAGTGAATAAAAAAAAAAAAATGCCTAATTTCATTTAAATCACTGATATGTATCCCTAAAATAGACAATTTTCCCCAAAAAAATTTAATTTGGAAGATTAGGGATATCATTTTAATAAGCCATTGAATTTTGGCCCTAACCCACTTTTTGAAGCTTTAAAAAGAAAGAAAAAAGGGGGTTATTTTCTCCTTTGGCTGTTCACTGTATTTTATCGGATTCCACGTGTATGTGAAAGGGAGAAAGTGTACCTAATTACGCTTGCATTTTATGTATAAAATACTACTATTATAAAATCTAGATGGCTTCCCATTATAAACGGAAAAGGGAAATTATTTTTACTGATGTAAGATTAAATAGATATCGACTTGACCCTCATCTGATCAATCAGCTGAGTGGTATTACTAGTGGGTACTACAAAAATTCTAGGAAATTTTAATACTTGAAAATGGGTATTTTTTCCTTGCTTTCCGACAGTCAATTTTATCTGCATTTTAATCACAGATTATATACAAATATAAAATATCCATGCTCAAAATTACAAACATATTGTTTATCGTTTTTTTTTTTTACAGTTTTGTAAGGCGATTGGTAGATAATTGTCTACATGTATCACCGAGTATCAGTGAATACAATTGTAAACAAACAAAACAAATATTGAAAATTAACTTTAAACGATAAACTTTCTCGTTTTTAATTTCATGAGGCCCAAACTTTACCTTGGATCTGCCTCTAATACAAATATTCCATTTCACTCAGTCAAGATTTGAGTGCGTTTTAAGCAAAGAAGAGTGGGGGATAAGGGAAAAATGCCTATAGTGCGAAAATGTAAAGTAAAAAATTTAATCTCAATTATATCCAAATTTTATGTGATATTTCATCTAATATTAAAGTATACTTAATGTAAAATCTCTATAATTAACAAAAATCTCACAAAGACTGAAATTGTTTCCCTATGAAACCGACTTAAAAGAACAAAAACGATCATTTTTTCATACTTTAACATCTTTTTTTTTCAATATGAGTGGGTCTTGGCTCCATTTTTTTGAAAGAAAATCCTAAAAAATTGCGACAAAATAAATATTTTTTGGTTTACAAAAAAATGGAGCGAAGCCCACTATACCCCACTAGACCCACTATACCTTAAAAGTACTCTTTTATGACAAAAAATTCGCACCTTTCCGAGAAATACTTTAAGTCCAGTACGTCAAGGGTCATATATCATAACATGATTTAAGGGGGGACCTATGTCCGAAAAGTCTTTGTGTGAAATTTTCAAAACTTTGACATTTCTTTCCTGACCACTTGCTCTTAAATTTTAGGTATTAAAAACAATACCTTTATATGCTTATTTCTACACAGGAGCACTTGCAAAAGTGTGAAATGCTAAAATAGATTATTTTCAGACATTATTGTTCTACCCCAAATATGCGCTAAAAGAACCAAAAATATCAAATCATATACAAAATCAACACTTATTTCATTTATATGAATTGTATCTTTAAAATGGAGGCAAATTCATTGAAATCCATCACGCATGAAAATTATAATGGAGCACAAAGTAAGTATCACCCCATTTCTCTTGTCGTATTTTTTACAATTCTGACATGCATAACAGGTAATATCTTGAAAAGTCTTTGTGTGAAAATGTTGTAATAGATATTTTTTGAAAGAAATGATTCATCTCTTTATTTTAACAAAGAAAAAAAGTATACCTTTATGATAAAATGAACGGAAATATTATGTTTTCTTTTATTTTTGTACTCTTATGTCATAAATATTGACCTTTCTGCAATTAAAAAGGGTAAGTAAGCACTGACAAACATCCAAGTATAAAACTATTTTGTGAAAAACGAGTACATGTATTTTGTTTTGATTAGAAACAATTTAAACAGATAAATTTTATTTTTTCATTCATTCCCCCCCCCCCCCCACTTCCATGCTCAGAATGCAACACCTATTAGAATCTGGGAATGACTTTATACAATAAAATCTACATGTACTATAAATCAATAAGCAAATATAGACCTGTACAAGTACATTTCTAAATTTTTTTCTTACTTTTCTCTAACAAATTGATTAATGTTAATTATAAATATTAAAACATATTTCCTTAATTTAAGCCGTCTTCTTTTAATTTTTGTCCCTTTTTCTGGTACTTATTATATCAGCATATTATCGAGGTATTTTTTCACAACAGAAATTGCTATAAATTATCAACCAAAGGAAGAGCATTCTAATATCAACAAATCCATAAATCAAATAAAACTGTTATTAATGATGAATAAATTTTCTTTTTGTAAATTGTGCACGTTATCTATTATCAACAATGTTATGCCTATACCACAGTTGCAAAAGTCAACAGGTTAAAAAGTCGCTATTGTGACCTCACAATAGTGACGTAGAACGACATAGGTCCCCCCCTTAAATGTAGCATTGTGGTTAGCGCGTTAGTCTCAAAGCAGTATGATACGTCGGTATTTTATTGCTGGTATTTGAATCCGACGTATACCTTCTAATATTTTTATAAATGACATTATCAAAAGAAATTTTTCTCTCAGAAATTTTTTTTCTCATAATTTCATAAATTTTAATAATGAGAAGTTAATTTAAGTATCTCGATTTTACATATCAAATGTGATTTCTTAATACTGGTATTTGACAGCATCTTTATGGATTGGATATTACGAAATCGGTGGGTGGCAGATTTCATCAGTAGAACTCTTAAATCGCCGAGGATGATTATCAGTGGATGTCTAGAATGTTCCATTATGTATCAGTAATAGGATACCTACATAAGAGCTGCAGATTACAAGATATCACTGTAAAACGTCCTTCAAAAAATTTGGAATAAATGAAATGTATAGAGATAACAAACACACATTTAAGCCAAATTCCATTCAAACAATACAAATAGAAGAAGAGCAAACAATTATTGGAATGCTTAGACATCTGAGGTGGGATTAAGTGTCATTGATCAAGTACCACAACCTTACCGACCAGTCACACTCACCATGTGCTCCTTGTCATATCAGAAAATAAAACGAAATATTATTACAAAATTTCAGTACATTAATAATGACCTAACAATGAAAAACATCATTCATCATTTTAATTAAAGGTGATTGTATTTGTTTAAAAGTTCATTATATCGATCGACCTTGGAACTTACGAATTGACTTTAAACGAGACTGTTGCTATTCTTGTTTCATCAACTTGTTTGTCAATAACTTATCTTGTTTTAGAAATTATTCATACGTATACGAAGCATGCTCCTGCATATCTGATCAACTATGAAATATAAACTACGTACACAGGTAAAAAGGGCATGTTGCTACATTAACAAACTAGTAAGTAAGGTTGGTTGACAATTAAAAAGTTTCAATTGTGAGGTTTATGTAAAGCTTAGTTGTTGGGTTAACATTTACGTATTTTTCTAAGTAAAAAAATATCTAAATATGAAATAGATTCTGTTATATCTTTAATTTGAAGCTCACAGTGATATATCATGTCAACATATATATGAATGGAACTATAACTATTGTTAAGTTAAAATTGTTCGTCAGTATATCTAATTGTCGGGTTGAAAACAAAATATACACTTCTGTTGCCTTCAACTCAACATTTATATGTATCGACAAAGTATGTCAATTAACAATGCTTATTTCCATTCTTATGTCGATGTAACATATTTTGGTGAGCTTGAAATAAAAGATATCATGGAGTCTTTTTTCATATTTAGATATGAAACTTGAGAATGACAATGGTTGTGTAACTACCAAGCTTTATTTTCCAAGTTTATGTCTCCCATTTGATTCGATGCGCAAGAGCGTGTTCTCTGTATGATCAATCTCTAAAACAAGGTAATTATTGACAAATTGCTGAAATAAGAATATAAGCAGTCTCGTATAAAGTCTTCCGTCCGTAAGTTTGGATTTTTCCGTTATTTCCCGATCATGACAAGGAGCACACAGCGGGTGTGACCGGTTGATCACTCTCCATGGTACCTACTCCAAATCTGATTTTTGGAGGTCTCTGTTTGGTCTGCTCCTACTGAGTATTGTTTTATGGATTTTAAATATGAAATACATGTACTGTTCGGTATCTCCATATGTTTCACTCCATAAAATAAATTCATATTGTTCATATAGATTATCGGACCAAATCTTAGGTGATATATATACATGTATTTATAACTTGAGCATTTCATGAAACGTTGATATGAAATTAAAAACTGTTATGCATTGTGGATAGTTCTTTTATTGAATGTGGTAATACCTTTTAATATTTATGTCATTTTACGCTCTAAAGTCGGTCTTATCTTCATCTCCACATGTTTAAGTGAATAGTTTGTGCCAGTCCAGGGTTTCCATGTTACACCATCATATTTTTTATCCTCAATTTTCCCATTTCTATAATACTTTCCATTTAAATTGCTCTGATAGCACTTATAAAACCACCATGCTGCATTGAATCTCTTTGCGCAACTTCCACCAAATTCCTTCACAACTTGATCATTGTCAACATCTCGAGTGGAGAATTTTTTATTGTTATGTTTAATCATTCCATCACCGGCATCTCCCTCGTAACCTCCGATATGTAATTTGTAGCCTTCATCTTCATCATCAACTACAAACGTGCTATATTCAGCGTATTTATGGTTTTTATCCCAGTCCGTCATCTCAACTCTAAGTGTGTAGTGATCCTGATTTGTGAGTCGGTGAATCACGTTGTTCCCGAGCCAGTGTTCTCCATATACTCCTACAAAATAATATTCGAAGAGTTAAACAAAACAATTACTTTAAATACATCTTTGACCTCAATAGTTTGAAAAACAAAACACAATAGCCATTTGAAAATTTCTTCCATAATAAAATTCAAAAAATATGATTAAGCAGAGAATTGACAGACAAAATTGATATTTATTCATACACTTCCAATTTTCGTTTGACTTATTAGTTTGTAAAAGGTGCCCAAACAGAAAAAACAGCCTATCGGATCATGCTAACAACTCATGTGTAAATCATGGTTTTGATATGATTTCGGTATAGGAAAATTTCACATGCAAATGAGCTAATGGATCATGGTTCTGAGATGATCTGTTAAACTAAACAACTAGCAAGAAAACCATGATCCCAAACAAAAACTTTTCTTAACAAATCATGCAAAAATCACATACAAATCATATCAAACTCACAAATTCATGATTTTGAACTATGATTTAGACATGATCCATTAAATGGATCATACTGAAATCATAGATGACAAATAAGGAAGTATGATCCTGATGTGGTTTGTTTCTGGGGAATGAGTCTGCTATGATTTTCTTGCGATTCTGACATGTGCCATTAACTTAGAAAACAAAGGAACATGAGTTTGAAATGATTCGTTAACTTTAACTGCTAAAAGTTTGTGATTTTGATATGGTTTCTTAACTTTGTCTTTAAACTCCATACGAGTTACACATGATCTGTTAACTTCTCTGTTGAGAATCATGAGTTTTATATGATTTGTTAACTTTGTCAGAATTGGTTGTATGATTCTGATATGGTTTGTTATCTTTGTCATCTATGATAGGTGAAAATGCAAGCTTTAAATTCACTCTAGCTTGGAGAATCAAACAACATGCATACATCAATAAAAGTCTTATTTAAAAGAGAACAGGAAAATTAAGTTTTAATAATTAAAATGCACACAGCATGTACAGGTATAGTTACAAAGACAATAATTTTTTTGAAGTTGAATGAAATTACAAACAAATACAATAATTCATATTTAAATTAGCACACATGTATTTCGTTTAAATAACCCAGCCAGGACTTTATTTAAACTCTTTCTCTTCATGTAATATTTGTGATCCACTCCCAGTCTAACTTTGAGGCATTAGATTAGGATTGGATCTTCAGAGTCATAGTAACCTTGTTATGCAATTCTCCTGCTGGGCAGCACGCTGTAGTACAGTGGTTTGCAGTTGATCTAGGTCAGAATTTGAATTCTGATAAAAACAAGATGTGCGCGTTTTCTTGTTGCCGATTTAAAAGAAAAGCCTTTGCATCATATAAGCAATAAAAATAAGTGCTGGACTATTAAGTCTATACTCGGTGAGTATAATTCATTAATTCTATTATTGACCTTTTTTTAATTTCTAGTTTCTACCAGCAAGTGCATGATTTATTTTTTCTTTGTAAATGTGTAGAAGAGACATAGCAAAGCTTTACATTGATTTGAATTGAAAATTTAATTTAAGCATCAAATTGACCCCGTTGATTCAAATATTTGTTGTACATGTACATGTTAATCGTTATATAAAATGTTTATTTATAAAAATGAAATTCTTTTGCAGCTACCGACAGTTTCATCTTCATGTTTAACATCTGAGTTGCATTCAAATTACCAAATTCAAAAGACCCGCCTTTGGTGAAGACAAATAATTTGTGTACGTAAATAATATTACATTTCAACAATAGTATTCTTTTGGTGATTAATCTAATTCTTTTCACTAATGCAATGGGGAAAGTACTTGAATATTTCATATTTTCATGATCTAAAGATAATGATATGTTGATCGATAAATAAATAACACTTTCTCTACGTTTCTTTTCAGGGTGCTACACAAATAAAGAGCTTATATCAGAGGATAGACTACTTAATTGGGAGCCTTTTCAGTGTTTGTGATTCTAAATAATAGATCCACCACTCTGCTGATTCTATAGTGAACAAATGTTGGAATTACATGCTTTTGCAGAATCATAAATAAGCAGTGATATCAATGAGTTCCGGATTATTCTTTAAGAAGAATGGGTTTCTGTGATTCTGTTCTTATAAAATTCAGTGAATAGTTTGGATATAATGTTTTACATTTAAATCGTCATCTTATTAAGGAAGATCATTTGTTGGGATTATATTAATATGACGTCATGGTTCATGTGACATATGTGTATAATATTTTTCTTAATTATTGGTAACTGAAATTATTTATCAAATATTAAAGAGAACTTTATTGGAAATATCAAAGTGTTTAGTTAAATTGTATAAGAAGTAGAATTTTCCTATGAGTTGTTCAATTTAACAGATCATACTAGGATCATGATTTTGATACGAGTTGTTAGCTACAACAGATCATACCAGGATCATGGTTTTAATGCGAGTTGTTAGCTACAACAGATTATACCAGGATCATGGTTTTAATACGAGTTGTTAGCTACAACAGATCATACCAGGATCATAGTTTTAATACGAGTTGTGAGCTACAACAGATCATACCAGAATCATGGTTTTAATACGAGTTGTTAGCTACACCAGATCATTCCGGGATCATGGTTTTAATACGAGTTGTTAGCTACAACAGATCAATTTGATGCTTAAATTAAGTTTTCAATTCAAATCCATGTAAAGCTTTGCTATGTCTCTTCTACACATTTACAAAGAAAAAATAAATCATGCACTTGCTGGTAGAAACTAGAAATTAAAAAAAGGTCAATAATAGAATTAATGAATTATACTCACCGAGTATAGACTTAATAGTCCAGCACTTATTTTTATTGCTTATATGATGCAAAGGCTTTTCTTTTAAATCGGCAACAAGAAAACGCGCACATCTTGTTTATCAGAATTCAAATTCTGACCTAGATCGACTGCAAACCACTGTACTACAGCGTGCTGCCCAGCAGGAGAATTGCATAACAAGGTTACTATGACTCTGAAGATCCAATCCTAATCTAATGCCTCAAAGTTAGACTGGGAGTGGATCACAAATATTACATGAAGAGAAAGAGGTTAAATAAAATCCTGGCTGCGTTATTTAAACGAAATACATGTGTGTCTAATTATGTTCCCCAAACGAAGTTGGGGAACATATTGTTTTTACTCTGTTTCTTATTATTATTATTTTTCTTCTTCTTCTTCTTCCTGGAACTTTTTTGTCCAGGAATGATCTTGTAAACTGTTCGTCCGATGTAGGTAAAACCTTTTTAGGGTTAGTAGACATGTTATGTAGATTTGTGGAATCAAGGTCATTTTGCGCGCACGTGCTTGCAAGAGCGTGCACGTGCAACACGTGAAATGACCAATATAATAAATATAGCCACAACTATTCTATTTTTAGATGAAATGCTTTGAAACTCCTAATGTGAGGATATATTTAGTATAGACATGATGACATGGTGAAAATAGCAAGATCTCACGCGCATGCACGTGCACTTCCCTCTGATTGGCTGCCAACTAAAGTCTCAATATCTTTCTTGTTTTTTGACGAAATCCTTTGAAATTTTGAACATTGCCATGCATTAGGATATCCTACAACATGAAATAAAGCAATTATCATGAAAACACGTGCATGCACGTGCGCTGCAATCTGATTGGCTGAAACTTTAAACAGCTATAACTCCCTTGGTTTTCAACCAAACAGGATGGGATTTGGAACATAGATAGATATAATGGACTTCTACAAGTAGGTATGGTCACCAGGCACAGGCATACACGTGCGTGTACATGTGCTACAGTCTGATCGGCTGAAACTTTACACAGCTATAACTCCCTTAGTTTTCACCCAAACGGGGTGGAATTTAGAACATAGATAGATGTAATGGACTTCTACAAGAAGGTATGGTCACCATGCTCATGTATGCACGTGCGTGCACGTGAAATGAGTAAAATCAAACATATTACTTGAATGAACGTATTTTTAAAAATAATTTTGGATTAATTACTTTAATATTTAGTGTATTAAAAATATAGACTGTGTAGACAAGATGATATGGTCATGACGCAAATGCATTCACATGTGCACGCGTGCGATGCTAAAGTTTAAATAATTTTTGTACACTTCTTTGTAAATGTTGTTAAAATCTCAGATGCATAGAGTTTGTCTTATTTAATGAAGCTTACAGGGAATATGGCACCAACAGGGAGTTGGGGAGCTTTGGGGAACATCTGTAACGGTCCCCGTTACAATTAGCACTAGTTTAAATATGAATTATTGTATTTGTTTGTAATTTCATTCAACTTCAAAAAAATTATTGTCTTTGTAACTATACCTGTACATGCTGTGTGCATTTTAATTATTAAAACTTAATTTTCCTGTTCTCTTTTAAATAAGACTTTTATTGATGTATGCATGTTGTTTGATTCTCCAAGCTAGAGTGAATTTAAAGCTTGCATTTTCACCTATCATAGATGACAAAGATAACAAACCATATCAGAATCATACAACCAATTCTGACAAAGTTAACAAATCATATAAAACTCATGATTCTCAACAGAGAAGTTAACAGATCATGTGTAACTCGTATGGAGTTTAAAGACAAAGTTAAGAAACCATACATATCAAAATCACAAACTTTTAGCAGTTAAAGTTAACGAATCATTTCAAACTCATGTTCCTTTGTTTTCTAAGTTAATGACACATGTCAGAATCGCAAGAAAATCATAGCAGACTCATTCCCCAGAAACAAACCACATCAGGATCATACTTCCTTATTTGTCATCTATGATTTCAGAATGATCCATTGAATGGATCATGTCTAAATCATAGTTCAAAATCATGAATTTGTGAGTTTGATATGATTTGTATGTGATTTTGGTATGATTTGTTAAGATAAGTTTTTGTTTGGGTGATGATAACAAACAAAGTTCAATCTCAATAAACAAAGCAATTTTTGGAACAGCAAAAAAATGGCAAAATCAAATTGTGAACAGGCAAAGACGTGGAAAAATCAAATTGTGAACAGGCAAAGACATGAATAAAAAAATCGTGAAGAGACAAAGACGTGGACAAAAAGAATCGTAAACATACAAACATATGGATAAAATCAATCGTGAACAGACAAAGACGTGGATAAAACAGATCGTAAACAGATAAAGACATGGACAAAACGAATCGTGAACAGACAACGACGTGGACAAAACAAATCTTTAACAGAAAATACAATGGACAAAACAAATCGTAACCAGACACAGAAATAAATAAAATAAAATCTTGGATAGACAAAGACATGGACAAAACAAATCGTGAACAGGCAAAGACATGGACAAAATGAATCGTGAACAGATAAAGACATGGACAAAACAAATCGTGAGCAGGCAAAGACATGGATAAAACAAATCGTGAACAGACAAAAACATGGAAAAAACAAATCGTGAACAGACAAAGACATGGATAAAACAAATCGTGAACAGACAAAGACATGGATAAAACAAATCGTGAACAGATAAAGACGTGGACAAAAAAGAATCGTGAACAGACAAAGACATGGACAAAACAAATCGTGAACAGGCAAAGACATGGGCAAAACAAATCGTGAACAGATAAAGACGTGGACAAAAAAGAATCGTGAACAGATAAAGACGTTGACAAAACGAATCGTGAACAGATAAAGACGTGGACAAAAAAGAATCGTGAACATATAAAGACGTGGACAAAAGAATCGTGAAGAGACACAGACATGGACAAAACAAATCGTGAACAGACAAAGACATGGGCAAAACAAATCGTGAACAGGAAAAAACATGAATAAATCAAATTGTGAACAGACAACAGAAATGGACAGAACGGATTATGAACAAAGACATGGATTTAAAAAATCGCAAACAGACAAAGACATGGACAAAACGAATCGTGAACAGATAAAGACATGGACACGACCAATAGTGAACAAACAAAGGCATGGATAAAACAAATCATGAACAGGGAAAGACATGGATAAAACAAATTGTGAACAAAGACATGGACAAAACAAATCGTGAACAGACACAGACATGAATAAAATAAATCTTGAATAGACAAAGACATGGACAAAATGAATCGTGAACAGACAAAGACATGGACAAAACTAAAAACTAATCGTGAACAGACAAAGACATGGACAAAACAAATCGTGAACAGACAAAGACATGGACAAAACAAATCGTGAACAGGCAAAGACATGGATAAAACAAATCGTGAACAGACAAAAACATGGAAAAAACAAATCGTGAACAGGCAAAGACATGGATAAAACAAATCGCTGAACAGACAAAAACATGGAAAAAACAAATCGTGAACAGACAAAGACATGGATAAAAAAAATCGTGATCATGCAAAGAAATGGGCAAAACAAATCTTGAAAATTTAAAGAAGTGGTCAAAAAAGAATCGTGAACAGACAAAGACATGGACAAAACAAATCGTGAACAGACACAGACATGAATAAAATAAATCTTGAATAGACAAAGACATGGACAAAACAAATCGTGAACAGTCAAAGACAAGGACAAAATGAATCGTGAACCGAAAAAAATGGATAAAACAAATTGTGAACAGACAAAGAAATGGACAAAACGAATTATGAACAGACAAAGACGTGGACAAAACGAATCGTGAACAGATAAAGACATGGACAAGACCAATAGTGTTCAAACAAAGACATGGATAAAAGAAATCGCGAACAGACAAAGACAAATGGATAAAACGAATCATGGACAGACAAGGACAAGAACAAAACAAATCGAGAACAGGCAAAGACATGGACACAAAAACAAATCGTGAACAGGAAAAGACACTGGACAAAACAAATCGTGAACAGATAAAGACGTGGACAAAACGAATCGTGATTAGACAAAGACATGGACAAGACCAATAGTGAACAAACAAAGACATGGATAAAAGAAATAGTGAACTAACAAAGACATGGATAAAACAAATCGTGAACAGACAAAGACGTGGACAAAACAAATCTTGAACAAAAATGACATGGACAAAACAAAGCGTGAACAGACAAAGACATTGACATTACGAATCGTGAACAGATAAAGACATGGACAAAAAAAATTGTGAATAGGCAAAGACATTCATCAAACAAACTATGAACCAGCAAAGACATTCATAAAACCAATCGTGAAAAAGCAATGACATGGAAAACCAAAGGTGGTATCAGGTACTTTTGAGTTAGCCCTCCTTTGGCCGGTTACTGTTTACTTTATTGTGAGATTTTTATAATGACAATGAATTGTACGGAGTACCTCCGAATCCCTCTCTGTAATCCTCCCAGTCCCTATAGAAATTAGTGGTACCATCCTGTCGCTTCTGAATCAACGTCCAACCGCCCTTCTTCATGTCGCAATATACTTGAATTAGTCTGTTGGTACCATATGGTCGAACCTTATAGACCCCATTTCTCATGTTTCCTTTGAGAAAGTAATCGTAACAATCTATAAGAGGAGTTAAAAAAATACAAAAGATAAATACAAGTTACGTTGATGAACATGCATAATCTGATTAAACTAGTATCATAATTTGATACAGACCTTTTGGGTCACTTTGTCCATCTGCAAGATACTTTATTGATGTGTTTTTTCCTTTTACTATATCAGTTTTATGTTCTCTATTTTCTAGATTCGTACTTTCATTACGACTTTCTTTATTCTTCGTCTTCTGTAATTCTTGTAATTTGGCTTCATCACCAGAATCATCTACATATTTTTCGTTCTTATGTGAACCGCTGTTATCACTTTCGTTTCTAACCTTTGTATCTTCTTTCAGATGCTTTGCGACAGAATTTGGGTGTACCTCGCTTTTCATTTTATTGATATTGTCTTCGCTTTCTTTTCCCGGAGTAAATTTCCATGC